GTACATACATATGTATGTGCATAAATCGTGGACTGAATGAGGACGCTGATGGTTGTTATGCATGATTACATATTTCATATTATGCATACTTCCCATCTTTTAAAGACTTTTGCACCCACTTTTTAAACAACCATGCCATGTTGCTTATCCCGCGCAACCGCTGTACATTGATCGCGTATCACATCAATTTCGTTGTAAAGCGTTTAGACTTCATTATTCCATTATCTGTGGTACCCAATCTAAACATACATGTGTATTTTTCTGAGTATATACAATTTTATTGGAACTGAATTAGAGAATGCACACATAGCAAAATGTTTCATTCATCTGTAGGCTCATTCAGTATTGAATTCGGTTTACTTCGCATTCCCAGTTTTTCATTCTGGTATTTACCACCTTGCTCTGTGAAATCAATTTTTTTTTAATGATTGTAGATTGAAAAAATATGAGCCACACTACCAGACAAAAGGATAAATAATGAAATTCTACTTGTAAATATTTCATGATTTATAATTTAAATGATTTCACAGTTTTACAGCTCTGGTATGCATGTAGTTTGTATTGAATTTTACTTGTATGAAAAAGAATTTCAAGTATTAGTAAAATGTACGTTTTTTTATTTTAACACGTAAGCAAATGTGAAAGTTTACACTTTTGCGCCCTCTGGCGGATGTGCTAGGAATAAGTTAAGCCCAGAAATATAAAACCTCTTATAGCATGCTTTTGTACGAAATTTAAGCACTTCTTTACGGCACTACAGCAAATTGCTAAGTAAGAGAAACCTATTTTCGCAATTTGGCAAACTCGAAATTGATTTTAGAACAATGGTTTTTTCATCGGCAAATTTGCTTACACGTGGAATCCTCCTATGCTATACGCCTATAGTCGAGAAAAAAATTTACCCGCCTTAATGTACATCCATAAATATTATGTTTTGAAAACATTTTATTAATTCGACCACGAATAACAATACTTAACTATTGATAAATCTTTAGCATTTATGTTTTGTGCTAAGTGCTAATTTATGAAAGTTTTTCTTGATTTACTTTTAACCCATACGAAAAGTTTAAAATGCAAAAAAAGGGAATTGGGCAAACTCATTGGGATAGGCAAGAGAAGGGCAAAGAAAAAAGAATAAGAATCATATTAGCCCAAGCCATGCTCTTATTTCATTAATTTAAGCCTGGAGTTAAGCAAATGGAATAAGCGATACTAGATTTGAAACAAATATGAATTTTTACCAATAAGTTTACATAATTATTTTTTTGCACTTTTCTGTAATTTTTAACCTTTTATCGGGACCCAAAATGATTAATATTTTTAATCAATGCCATTTGTTTAACTTTTTGTAATTTAGAAGTTCGTATTAAAATTGTTACATTTTTTCGAAACAAATTTGCGTTTTTACCAATAAGTTTACATAATTATTTTTTTGCACTTTTCTGTAATTTTTAACCTTTTATCGGGACCCAAAATTATTAATATTTTTAATCAATACCATTTGTTTAACTTTTTGTAATTTAGAAGTTCGTATTAAAATTGTTACATTTCCTTCGCAGCCTTCAGAGATAATACGCTATCCAAATTTCACCACGTTTGTGAAGGAGCCCAGCATTTGCCCATATCAACTGCTTATAGACAGCGCGCCACTTAATATCGGAACATCAATACTAATGCAGAATTCTAACATTATAACTTCGATATTGGTCATGATGGTCACATGCTTATTATGTTAACCAAGACTAATTTACATTTGTTATACATTAAGTATCTATTTAAAACAAATCATCCGTCTATATGTATCTATAATAATTTATTTATTATTTAAATTATTAACCCTTTTATCAAGTTATATGTCTTTATATATGGAAATTACGTGAAAGTTATTTATGTATGCATGTTGTACTTACATACCTAAAAATTTGTATTTAATTGGTTTCAAATATTTATGCAAACGAATATCTTGGGAAAAAGTAATTGTCACGGTCATTTGTAAATGCCTTAAGTAACATTTTTGGAAAACGCTTTACTTATATTCCTATAGTTCTCATTTAGAAATATCCTACCGAACCCCAAAGAAAACTATTTTCAAGAGACACGTTTAAAGTTTTCAATTGGCTTGAATATGAAGCATAATATAACGAGTAATTCTTACTAGAAATGTAACTTGTAGTATTGATATCTTCAGAGCACCCTGAAAGCATTTACTTTGTTTAATTTGTCATTTAGACAATTTGCATTGTTGACTATACAATTGTACTTTTTACTATCTATTAAATTTTTTAAGTATTTTAAGTCAGCCCATCCCAAACTTATAGTCGCTTATTTTAAGGAAAGTGAGCTCTTTGCAAGAGAAATAGTCATAAAATATGTCAGCATTATTTAGTGGACCTCTTAAGATATTTTATTTAGTACATATGTATATGTATATATAAGGATATATACATAGAGCATAGGTTTTAAAATCTCAATCCAAAGAATTAGTATTAAAGCATCTTTAGTAATAACAAAATAGCGTTGTAAGAAACCGAAAAATTCTCTAAATCATCAATAAAAATGTACCCAGAATGAAATGGTTTTTTGCTTTAGTTGTGCGGATTTTAATAGTGGGCATAACAATTAAGATCGAAGTTTTGGAACAGGTATCCGAACTTGTTGCAAGATTTTTTCTTCTGGCAAAATCATGTAAAGTGTCAAGCGATCAGCTGTTACATAAAGGCTGCATTTCTTTATTCATTCTGAACGTTTGGAATAAACTTTTTTGTTTACTTATTCTTTAGAACGTTCCTGATGATATGTTAACGTATATTTGAAACGCATCTTGTTTATTCCGGCTGTGAAATGGGATTATCCGGAATGTATAAAGAAACGCAGCAACGCAGGAATGTATAAAGAAACGCAGTAAACGAAAATTGTACGTTGTTAAGTTGATAGCGAAAAATCTTTACCGTATTACCGTAAATATTTCCGTTTCGTATACGTTACGCGTTACGGTAATAGGCGGTACATTCCTGTACTATATACGGTACAAGGCGGTACAAAGCTATACCGCAGCGTGCACAATTGACCACGCGGTGTAAGCAGATACATACATGTCGTCGTTTAAAGTACAAAACCGAGTATCGTCGTTCTGTAAGCTGTGCTGGGAATGTTAAAATTTATACGTTCTAATATAATAGGGCAGTCCAAAGACCCACTAATAACACTGAAAATAAAATTCAACGCGAGCACAGATCTTCTAGCTTCCAAGGTCTTCAGATTTATTAAAAGTAAAGGAGAAGTGTAGGTGGGCATAGGAGCAGAAAAATTCAAAGACTGTTATGCAAATTTAAGAAAAACCTTCTGAACACGCTCAATTCTATTTATAGAATTACTATGATAAAGCCTCCATATAAACGCCCCGTTTTCCGTATTCTTTAAATTTGCACACTAATTTGCAACTTCTTATTCAGATTAAAAAAAAATGCAAGGTACGCAGTTTTATAGCCCATTCAAATCTAGTATAACAAAGTGCAAGTTTAAAGTTGTTAGAAAATCGCGTTGATTTTTGGCAATATTTTTAGTGGAAGGTGTTGCTCATTTTCTCCATACAAAAAATAATTGTCGAATTACTTTGTATGGAAGAATTTGCGTGAAAAAAAATTACCAAAAATCAATGCGATTTTCTAGCGACTTCAAGCTTGCACTTTGTTATTCTAAATTTGAATGGGCTATAAAACTGCATACTTATAATTTTTCTAAAAGATCTGAATAAAAACTTGCAAATAAGTGTGCAAATTTAATGATTTAATTTTCCTGAGTTTTGCACAAAGTTTAGAGATTTTATTATTGTGTTTTCTGGTGTAGAATGAACAATATTTTTACAAAAAATTATCGAAAATAAATTAGAATAAAGAACTTTGCATATATTGCGAAAAATTCACTGTGCCAATACTTCTGTTCGGCACTGTATATAACAGTTTAAGTGTATACGGGTCACAAGAATTTGTACAATTTCGCCTCACAAAGCCCAAAACTGAATAAGATTTCTTAATTATGTGGCTGATATGGCTGTTAAAGTAAACATTTGATGAAAAAATTATGCCAAGATCTTTCATTTCCTCAGCAGTTTCTAACAAAGTATTAGAAATACTACAATTTGTTGATAAGACATTGCAAATTTTTGCAAAAGTGATTTTGAAACATTTATTCAAATTCAGTGAAAGTCTCGATCTCAAGCACCAGGAATGCAGATTATCCAGTTCTACTTGAAGCCTATTCATATCATTCAGATTTTTTACTGTTGAAAAGATTTTAAGCGACTTATTGAAAATAAGAGTTAAAGGTAAAACCAGAGCAGGAGTATTTTTCAGCAATATTGCAGAAAACCCATCAACGTCCATTTTAGCTGAGGTTTAAGTTTAAAAATGCCATTTAAAACATCATCAGATGACAACTTAAGAGACCCAAATTAATGGAGGAACTTTCTGGGTAGTCATAATCGAACCCACAATTGCCATCATAATCAGAAAATTTTGAACAAAAATGTTCAGCGAAGAGATTAGCTATATCATTACGGCTACTAGCAAACTTATTCTCAAGAAATACTGCCGAAGGTATACTAGAAATAGATTTCTTAGACTTAACGAAATTCCAAAATGATGTTGAGTTCGACTTTATGCTCGACTCCACACTAAGAATATAATTCCTATAAAGAAATTTGTCTAAACAATTAAATTCTTTCAGATATTTCTGATATTTTTCAAAAAATACCTGGCTCCTGGAAGTCTTAAATTTTTTTTTTAAACAATGTATTCCTAAGATTCTTTAACCTGTATGGTTTTTTATTTAGAACTGGAATATTGTCAACACAGA